TAGTAAGTATACTTACAACCCCTAGCAGCCATATAATACCCCCAGTGGGCCCCATGATTAACCTACTTACTGAACCCCTCTGACCTGCCAAGTGATTTCAGATAAGACTCATCGCCGTACGTAGCGAAGTACTTTACGAATGCTGTTCATGTTGGCCCCAATATATTAAGTTTTTACCAAAGGAACCACAGAAGGGGGCAGTAACTTTTCGAAAAGCCTACATTACTTGACATGCATATTGTGGTATGAAAGAGACCCTTGATCTCAAGAAGTGCTCAAGTGAGCCTCAGCGTCATTGAAGGACCTGAACCCATCGGGGCAGTCAGCAGCAGCTGGTGCGACCAGGGCCAGCAGCCACGCCAATGCCAGGCTCATTCTTTCGTAGGTTTGTGTATTTCTCATGGACACCCTAAACCCTAAAAAGAAACCCTATAAACCCTAAACCCCATGCCCTACTACTTGGCAATACCTGCAGATAGCAAGCTGCTATACTTGTCTTTGTAGCTTGAGCCTGTTTCCAGTCAACTCAAAGAGGGCTGACTAGCTGCACAAGTCATGCCAAACTTGCTCTTACCCTACTGTGTGGGTTGTTCGAAAAATTATGGGCCCCTTTGGGTTATGGAATATATGGCGGCACCTAATATTCTGTTGTACCCAAATGGACCCTAATTTTGGGAACTACCCATATTACTGGTATTCATGATTATCCCTCCAAATCAGGCCCAGAGTCAATTTATTTGTCCATCTACCCCTTTCCTTGAATTCTCTTCTATCGGCTTTATGTTGGTAGTTTGCTCCTACTATTGCTGCTCTGAACATGGGAGTTTCTCGAAATTGGGGCCCTGGGGGTAGAAGGGGATCAGGGACGTCCTTATTTTTAGGGAATATGTTGAAATGATTTTTACACATACCTACATAACTGCTACTGGTATGGTTATGCTGTCCACTATCATCACCGCTACGTCAATCGTCACCTTCCCAACCATGATGTGTAGATGCGCAGAAGAAGCAGTAGTAGAAGCAAGCGGGGCAGTCACACAATCACGGGGAAGGGGTCCATGTTGTCACGGGCTCATCTAGGTAACACCCCTATCACCCACAATATAATCCCAGTTTCATTTTCCATTTGAAGATGAAGTCCCTCTACCTCAAAAAACCCTAAACCCTAAACCCTAAACCATAAACCCTAAACCCCAAACCAACATGGTAGAGTTTGGAGTTGATGGCTTAAGGCTGTGAGTCCAGAAACCCCAGACGAGCAATTGTAGCAAGTTACAAATACACTCCCGGAAACTAACATGGAAACCCAAAAAGGGCCCTACAAAGACTACAGTCCTTCTAAAAGGGGGCTATATGGGTTTCCATGTTAGTGTTAGTTTGGGGGAGTGTAGTTTACTCAAAATGTCAAATGAAATGGAAAAGAAACTCAAAAGCAGGTGTAGACAGCGATTGTTTAGGGGTAATTTATCATAGGGTCAGAACTTTGGCACATGTTGAACTACTCCAAGGATAAGGGGTAGTCAAAGTGAAGCTAGGGTACTTCAAACCCCACATCTGACCACCTGCAGAAGGATAGCTTGGCTCTTTACCAAAACCCTCAACCCTAAACCCTAAACCTCCTTATAGCTCCTAGCCGACCTAAACCGTAACCCTAACCCCTAAACACTAACCCCTAAAAAAAACCGAAAACCTAAACCCTAAACCCTAGATAGTAGCTTCCATTGTCTTTTCCATTATCCCTATATTCCCCAGATTATACAGCTACATACACCTACATTATACAACCCGAAACCCTACCCAAAACCATGTAAGTCGCGCAGAAAGTCTAAACCCTAAACCCTAAGCCCTAGCCTAAACCCTAAACCCTGAGCCCTAAACCCTACACCCTAAACCCTGACCCTGAGCCCTAAACCCTGAACCCTAAACCCTGAGCCCTAAACCCTAAACCCTAAACCCTGATAGAACTCGGGA